CCCTAGCACGGCCGCGGGGGGTGTGGGTGGTGTTGCTCGTCCCGAGGGGCGATTTGGCGGGAGAGCCCTGAGGTCGGGGCGCTCCGGACCTCACCCCCCGTCACTTTCCTCTGGACGGAAACAACCGGATTTTGCTCATGCATCTTGGAAACGGTTCCTACTAACCCCGGTCTCTGTCTTTCCTTCTCCAGATGAATTGAAAGGCTTTAATTCAACCCGCTCGCCCTGCCCCCTCCCCTCTCTCTCTTTCTCTCTCTCTCTCTCTCTCTCTCTCTCTCTTTTTTTTTTAAGAAAAAGCTCTTGCCTTTAGCAGAAGTATAATTGTGACCCTGCCTGATCCACAGAGCCTCCTGTTGGGAGCAGTTAGCTGTGGTTGCATTAGGCCAAAGGACCTCCCAAGTGGCGGTGGCCTGGGTGTCATAGGAAGGGACTCTGCACATTGTCCATTCTTTCTCATCAAAGTCCCAGGCACCGTGGAGCCAACAGTTTGGTGGAGCAGGAAAATAGTAAACAAGCCTCCCCCTTCCCTTCCCAATCCAGCAGCTTCGTGATCTTCCTGGGACGCAGAAAAGGGAACAAACTTTTTCATAACTTTAGCTCTATGGTGTGATTTACATTTCCGGCTGCTCTGTCAGAGGGCCAGTAATTTACAGCCTGATAAAAAACACTTTTACAACACCAGAACATGTTCAAGTGGTGTCTTACTATGCAAAAAGATTTTAAAAGGGGACACACGCAAAACGAAAAGTGCGTTTCTCTGCCTTTTTCCACCATGGCTTTCTGAAGAGACAAATGAGTTGAAGTTGCAGTGTAGGCAAAAGGAAAAAAAAAAAAAGTGGATGCAAGCTGAAGAAAATGGGGATGAAATTAATCCTGGGCTTTTGTTTATATGGTGTATATTATATGTCCACGTTTCTCCTATTTCTCCAAGGCTTTCGCTTAATGGATGCTTGTCTTTTCATGCTCTCAGGCCAAATCCTGCTTGTCTTGCTCCAGGGAATGCTTTCATTTGGGCATGGATCTATTGTGTTTAAACAATTTCTTTTCTTCAATAACTAATTTCTTCTCCGGAGTCTAAAATCGAGTAGGTCTGGTAGTGTTTATGAAAGGGGAAGCGTCTTTTATTCAGTTCTAATGTCTCTAATCTGATATGGAAAGCTTTTCCAAATACCGGGGTAATAGCGTTAGCCCTTCTCGAGGAGCATCCAGTTTGTTCCAGCCGGGCTCCTCCACGGGGGCAGGGCAGGACGGAATCTAATGTACAACATCCCTATCCTGGTAGAGACGATAAAGTTTAGTAAATTACAAATATGTGAATTTGGCAAACAGTTAAGGATTAAAATGATCAAACGATTAAAAAAAAAAAAGAGAGAGAAGCAATGAATAAACCACATGTAGCGGTTGCCGCTTTCATGACTTTGGTAATTATTTACACCTGAATCATAGTTTACCCCGGCCATGGTTTCAAAAGTAAACCTTTAAAGAATGTAATTATTTCCAGTTTTCGGCAATAGAAATGAAAAAAAAAAAAAAAAAAAGCGCAGGTTAGTGAGCAAATGCTGTCTCCCGAGCTCTCGTAAAAGGCTTTACGTGCATTTCCATCCCGAAGATACAAGCAGTCCCCCCCCCGCCCCTTCCCCGGCACACATGGGCGCGCATTTACGGCTAAGGAGAGGGTGCTGGGGGGGCTCGCATGGGACGACCCAGCTGCACGTACACATATATCTATGTATCTATCTATATATATGTGCTTCTGCGTGTGCGTTCATTCGGGTCACAATATTGAAGCATGTGTGGATGGACTCCCCAGCTCCTTCCTTCAGCTCTGTAATAGCTCTGTTATTTTTACTAAACGATCAGGATGGCTCTAC